AGGATCATGATATTTTTTATGAAGACTCAGATCAGTTGCATGTAAGAATGATTTATGACATACATCGCATGTGTGGGTCCGCTGATCACCAGCCAAATGCGACTGCTCGTGTTTAACCAGACTAGCTTTATCTACGAAACGACGACCGCAGTAAATGCATGGAAGAGGTCGAGATTGTGAATTATGAAGCGTTAAATGACGACGTAGAGCGGTAGATGTTGGAAAGTTTTTATGACATTCGAGGCATTGAAATGGTCGATCACCAGTATGAGTTTTTCTGTGACGAGCTAAAGAATTTTGATCTGGATATCTAAAATATAAATAAAACAATTATCTTTAAAATTATATTTTAAAAAAATATAAATTTAATTATTTGTTTATAAATATAATTGTTGTAAAAAATTAACCTTTTAGGACATAAATCACATGGAAAATTTCTTGTTGTAATATCTTCTTCACGAGCATGCTTCAGTCTATTATGTCGAAGTAATTGAAGTGATGTTTTAAAGTTTTTATTACAAATATCACATTTTAAATTATCTGTTGTTGGTATAATCACTTGTGTTCTTTTTTGTCCATGTTCATCCTCAGATATTATTAAAGATATAGTTACAGTATTGTCTTCATTATCAAGATCAGCAGACATTATAGAATTCTAAAAAATAAAACAAAAATAAAAAAATGCTTTTGATATATATATTTTAGAAATTATTAAAAATACCTGTTTATTGTTATGAGTAGATTTAAGTTCATTATCTGGTATAGAATAAGATTCTTCTTCCATTTTTCTAACATTCTGTTGAGATTTAATTTGTGATTCTTTACCTTCAGAATCATTACTATTTTCTGCAATAGCATAATGTCCATCTTCAGTTAAATATACTGGTTGTAAAGTTCCAGTTTCATCTTTATAGTATAATTGACCATCTTCATCTTCGTGTAAAAATATTTGATTCTAAAATTGAAGATAAAATTTATTTGATTATTTAAAATTAAAGAAAATAAAGCAGGATATAAAGTTTAATTAAATGTTTAATTTTATATTAATACCTGAGAATTTTCTTTTTCTTGATTTTGATTAGAATCTGAATTAGTTGTTTCCCATACTTGTTCCTCATTTTCTATTACTGCAGTATCATAAGAATATTGTTCATTATCATCTACTGTCTGTGCAACATATAATGTTTCTATATTATCAGCTTCATAATAAATTGTTCCTCCAATTGGTATAGTATTTTCATCTAATTGTTCCATCTAAAAATAAAATTATTATTTTCACAAATAGTAATTATTATAATGACTATAATTAAGTAATACAAACCTTAATATAATGAGCATCTGAAAGTTTATCTGGTTGCAACGTTTTCATTGAACTTTGTTTTTTTGTACCAAGTACAGTGTATAATAAATTATTTTCAACATTCTTCACAATTTCATGACTTACATTATTATCAATATTTTCATCATTCATATTATTTTCAAATTCTTGATTTAATTTACATTTTTCTATTCTATCCAAAGATTCTGTATTATCCTTAAATTCTGATTTATTTGTTTGTAATGGTAAAGAAATTGTTTGATTATTTACATATTTTTTATCACAACTCAATATTCTTTGTCCTTGCAAAGATTCTGTACAATGATTTAATGTATTTGAATTATGTTCAAAGTTTAATTCAAATTGACATTCTTCTTCTTCCATATCTTCATCTTGCCAATCTTCATGTACATCATATGCTATAAGTTGTTTATTATTATGTTTATTATACTGATTTTTCTTTTCATATTCTTTCTCAGATTGTGTCTTGAAGATTGAATTGTCTTCATCAAAAGCATAACTTTCCATTTCTGTTTTAATATTGGCATTTTTGTTTTCAATAAAAGTAATTTCATCTTGTGATATTTCTTCTTTATCTTCTTCTATTTCTTCTATTATTTCTATAATTTCTTCTATTTCTGTTCCTATAGAATCTTCTGTAGCTTCTGATTCTACTATAACACTTTCACCATTGATGGCATGTTTTAATACTTCCATCACGTCTTTATCATCATTAATATCTATTGTATCAAGTATTTCATGTGACAATTCCATAATATGTATTTTTAAATGTTGTCCAAAAAGTAGTGCTTAAAAAAACAAATATACTATTTATATTTATTAAATTATAAAATTATATTTATTAATATTATAAAATTATATTTATTAAATTAATATTATATTACAAAATCTTTAAAAAAAAAATATTATTTATTATTTTTAATAGAACTTTACTTATATATAAATAT